GCACACGGGGCATTCGAGGAGCTCATGACCTTTGCCGACGCATCGAGCAACTCTTCGACACTGCCGGCTGAGATCGGCCTCGCCTACAATCGGATGCATCACTGGGCCTAATCCGACACCTTCAACTCGTACGCTGGGCGCATCTTTAACGCCGCCGATGAGGTGGACACACCGATCCACATGACCTTTGGCAACGCAACGCACGGCATGCTGAGGGCGACCAGCCCTGACTACCAGTGGCTCATCACAAAGCTCGACAAGGACCGCTGGCGGAGGGACACCGTGTTTGCCGCGGATGGACCGTTTGGAGGCGCACGCGTGAGCTACATCCTGACGCGCGTCGTGAGAGAGGATGGCTCGCCCCACCCGACCTACTTTGACCTTCACGTCGTACATGGGAGCGCGGCAGCTGCGGGTCCACGCCACCGATAACGTGTGCCTGCGGCGTTGCGGCGCCTGGGCACCAGAGCTCACGTGCCAGGTGCCGCAGCTCTGCGACACGTGGTGCGAGCTCTCGGGCACCTGGTGTGCTTGACAGAACAGCGCAGCCTCCACGACACGCAGCAACAAGTCTCTGCGCGCTCTCTCTGCCAGGCGACGACTCCGATAGGCACACAGCGGGAGAGAGGAAGGATAGCATCCATGTATTGCATATACCGGTGTCATGACAAGTGATGAGCATTCTTTGTTCATATCGTATGGTATTGCTGGTTTGCTACGCGTCATACGGCGCGGTCTGTGCACTGTGGGGACGGAAAAGGTAGGGGAAAGGAGAGGGGTTTCGATTGGAGAAATAGAGCATTCGTAACTGTTGGTCGTTGCGCCCGCGGGCGTCCTCGGGCTGGTGGTTCGGTTGCCCGAGCGGGCGCGGCTGCCAGGCGAGCTGCTACATGGTCCTTTGTCGGCAAAGTGTGCCGGGTGACTTCAGCACGGCGCACTGGACGCCATTATCAGAGGAAGAAGCACGTCAGGCGCTTCAGAGCATCTTTGCTGCTTCTGTGGGCGAGCAGCACTGCTGGCGGCCCCAGCGTCATGCAGTTCCACACGTTCCGATGGAGAACTTCCACACTGGCCAGTATGGGCGGCCACTGAGCGCCAGACCGATCCCGTGGGCGAGCGACCGTGTGCGCACGCACGGGCTCGCTCGTTCGGAGCTCAATGGTAGGCACGGGCGATGCCTGGGATGGCACGAGAACAGCCAGCGTTTCATGGTTCAGCTCGACGGCGCCGATGCACCAATCCGCGTGCGTGCGCACCATTTGCTGGGTCGGATGATGATGGAGGACGATGAACACCCAGTCGTGGATTCTGAGCAGGAGGATGAGCCGACCTGGTGCCATGCGGCGCGCGAGATAGTGGTACGCTGGCAGCCAGCCACGTGCGTCCGCCCGGACCGGAGCCTTCAAGAGCGAGCAGCCGAGGCAGTGCTTGCGGCTGGGGGCAGCCCGGAATCGCTGGCCTCCGCCGGCACGCCTTCGCCGATTGTAGAAGTGGTGAAGGACGCCGAGAACCGCGGGACAATCAGCGTAAGCGTGCCTCACGACTCGGACTTGTGGGAGTGCATGCAGAACTTCTTCTGCGATGGAGGTCCTGGCCCATCCATAGGGCACGTCGACGGCGAGTGGCGCGAGGAGCAATCTCGCACCCACGGTGCACGGTGGGTGGC